CAATGATCAGAAAGTAACTCTAGTTCATAGCTTGATACGCATCCTTCTCCATCCTGTTAAAAAAGAAAAATAACTTCTTTTAAAATCATTTTATTGGGAGCTTGTACAACTCTTATCACAATCCATCTATCCATCCATTGTGTCAAGCACATTCGTATGTTTGTTGCCATCATCATTCTCAAAGGGTTGGGTTTTTTAAAAAAGTTATGAAGATGATTAATATTGCTAGCATCACTCTGCAAATATGTCTTTCACAAGATTAGATCGACTTGTGTTACTATGTGTAGTGGGTTAAATGATTACCTACATCCAGAACCTAACTCCCAAACGTCTGAAGCTGGGTTCTACAGAGAAACACCGCCAGCAAAGTTTACATGTGGATAGACACAAAGAGGGATGTCTCCGTACAGACACATAGAGAAATACAGAGACTGGTAAGTTGCAAGTCCACGGGTCAGATACCAGGCTGAAGGCCTCTCCTGCCGATGCCAGCAGAGCTCCCCAAAACAGCAGCAACAAAAATATACGCCTCGGGTTGAAAGAGGAAAGGATTCTTTGGACAAAACGCAGGCAGTTTCCAAAGCAGATGGAGGGATCGCATGATCCCGAAAGGATGGCATTGAAGGAAGAAGTTCAAGCTGCACTGAAGCCTCGGCAAAACGCAAGGCTCCGCCCAGAACTGATGACAGGAACACTACCTGATCCTCGTAGGAAAATGAGCCTTTCCACTCCCTAGAGTTACGGCTTTGGAAACCCGCCAGGGCCGTCCTAGTCTGTCCTATGGGGTTGCTGTGCGTCACCATGGACTAGATGGTGAGTTGGGTTTTTTGAGTCCAGGCTCCTTGTCTTTTTCTAAGGAGCCCTGGTGGTGTAGGGGACGACTGTAGTGAGCTGTTAACCATAAGGTCAGCAGTTCAAACCCAACAGCTGCTCTCCGGGAGGAAGATGAGGCTTTCTGCTCCAGAATAGACTTGCAGACCCAGAAACCTCGACAAGTGGGTAGTTCTACCCTGTCCTGTGGGGTCACTACGCTTCGGCATCTACTTGATGGCAGTGAGTTTGGTGCGGTGTTGGTTATTATTATTTTTTTTATTTAATTAACACTGTAATTTAATTACTGTACTTTTTTTTTTCTTTCTTTTTTAACATTTTATTAGGGGCTCATACAACTGTTATCCCAATCCATACACACATCAATTGTGTAAAGCGCTTTTGTACATCGTTTCTCAAAACATTTTCTCTCCATTTAAACCCCCGACATTAGGTCCTCAGTGTGCGGTGTTGGTTTATGGGTTGAAATCAGCTTGCTGGGATCGGGTGGGTTTGGAAGGATTTTCTGGCGTCACGGTGGCTTGGGTGTTGGGCTGCCAACTACAAGATCAGCTGTGAAAACCCGCCAGCTAACTGCAAGAGCTAGCTGCGAGAGAGGAGGGTACCTGTTCCCATAGAGAGCTAGTCTCAGGAATCCTGAAGGGATCTCCAGGAATTGGAATGGACCCAGTAGCGATGGGTTTAGTTATGGTTTTGCTTTTGAGAGCGTTAGAGCCCTCGTGGCCCTGCAGGTTAAGCGCAGGGCTGCTGAAGGGGCAACGCTGTCAGTTCAAACCTACCAGCTGCACTCTGGGAGTAGAATGAGGCTGCCTGCTCCTGTCAACAGCCCCTAAGGAGCAGAATCGACTCGACGGCAGTGGGTTAGGGTTGGTTGATACATCGATAACTTAGGTTTGCTCTTAGGACAGGCGTTTGGGGCGGTGGGGGTTGGGGGGTCACCAGTTGCTCCATATTGCCCACGGGCAAGTTGAGGTCCAGGCAGGGAGGTCGCCCTGGTGGTCCGCGGTACAACTTAGGGGAATCTGAACATGCGAAAGCTATGCTTTATGGTCTGTTATCCGCTGCAGCTCAGACCAGGCCAGGCGCTGCCTGCACGTTCTCTTGTTTAATCCTTGGACCCCCTGGCAGTGGGTGCAGCCATTCCCCCACGGGGCAGGGAGGGGAAGTGAGACCCATGGGGTGGCAGGGTTCACACCCAGGCTGCGGGCATCGAGCTCACAGCCTTAACCACCATGCAGGGTTCTCCACACGTGTAATTTCCTTTGGGGGCGGCCACAGCCATTTGGGGGGGGGGACTCTGGATGCCAGCGAGGCCAGTTGGCAGAGGGGAGGAGGGGCTGAGAACCCAGGCTGGCATCTGTATGGGCAGGCTGAGCCTAGACCCCACCCTCGCTGCTAGCCACTGCCCCCACGGATCCTCCCGTTCCCTGAAGCTCCCCCGCCCTCCACCCAGCTGCTTCTCCTGTGGTCGGCTCAAATACCAGACAGGACGAATCGCGTTCCCCCAAACATTCCTTGTTCCTGGGCCTGGCTGGCTGAGGTTACGCAAGCAGGAGCTGGGGTGGAGCAGGGGTGTAGTTTGGGGAGAGCTGGGGGCTGGACTAGTCTGTCCTCACCCCACCTCCCACCCCCATCCATCCAGCTGTTCTGACCTTCCCAAGGGCGGGCCAGGGATGGGCCAGCCCCCTCCAGCCCCTGGGAGAACAGGGCCCGGGTGGCCTGTGCTGAGAGATGGGGCCAGTGGTGGCCGTGGCAGAGGCTCTACGAGGTGACGGCCTGGTTCCCCTTAGGGAACCTTAGTGGGCAGTTCGAGGCGAGACGGCACAGCTGGGGCTGGCTATGGTAAGGGGGGAAGGTCTGTGGGTGAGCCTTGCCCTCCTCCAACTCTTGACAGCTGGCTCTTGCCACCCCATGCCAGCTCCCCCCAGCTCCCCTCCCCTGACTCGGATGCTCCTATGGTCATGACAACCCAGTGGTGACCAGGAGCCCGCTGACCCCTCCCTCCACTTGCAGCAGTTGCTCTTCCTGCTACTCCTGCTGTGGCCGGGCCCCCCCATGGCCCCTGGCATGGAGGACACGGCCTTCCCTCACCTTGGGGAAAGCTCACAGCCCCTGCCCCGGCCCTGCCCCCCTCGCTGCTCCTGTCCCCGAGAGGACATGGTGGGCTGCGACGGCCTGGACCTGCGAGTGTTCCCAGACAACATCGCCAGGGGTGCTCAGCACCTCTCCCTGCAGGTGGGGCCGGGCACAGGGGCTGGGGTACGGGGTGCATGGGCAGGGAACAGGGCTGGAGCATGGCGGTTCATGGTAGCTGTGCGGAGGTGAGGGCTGCCAAGGTGACACAGGACCTGGTGGAGAGTGGGGTCCATGCGGGGGAGGCAGGGTAACATCTGGGTGATGTGAGGCCAGGGGAAGGGGAGGGTGATGGCATGTTGGGGTCCACACCTTGGCGGTGGTGGGGTCCTTTGGGGTCAGGGTCATGGCGTGGTAGAGTCCTGGAGCCTACATCCTGGGGTCAGGGTGATGGGTGACAGAGTGGTGATGGAGTGGGGCGGCATCGGACCCGTGTCTCTGGGGTTGTGCAGGCCCTTGGGGCCAGGAGACAGGGTGGAGTGGAGAATCAGGGCGACGGGGGTCAGGAGGGTGAGTGCCGCACCCCCTGACCCCCTGACCCACAGAACAACCAGCTCCAGGAGCTGCCCTACAACGAGTTGTCCCGGCTCAGGGGGCTGCAGACCCTCAACCTGCACAACAATCTCATCTCCTCTGAGGGTGAGCAGCCAGGGCCCCGGGCGGCTCCAGGGTTCCAGCACGTGGGTACGGCCCGGGTCTGTGGGCAGCTCTGTGGCCGACTTCCCAGAAGGGCCCTTTGCTGAGTAGGGTGGAAACTCAGGGGCTGGGGGGG